TTCTGATTAATGCTCTCCTAAATGCTCTACCTGCCTCACCTAAACATATAGCTATAAGCTATGCTGATGACATCATGATCCACACAACAGGGCATAAGAAGATGAGTACCATTCTTAATGAAGTTCAAGCAATTTGTAATCGACTAGGCCTCATAATATCTTCCTCTAAAACAAATATATTAACAAGCAAACGACATCCCCCACCCATCTATTTGCAGGGTGAAATCATTAGCTATGTTAAAACTTACAGATATCTTGGTGTAGATGTACCCTTTAACAAATCCACTATACCACAACTAAACAAGAAATGCAAAGCTAGGCTAAATGCTCTCAAAGCTGTTGCTGGTTACAACCCCAACTATGGTGCTAATGTGAGAATCGTGAGAATGATGTACATAGCCTATGTTAGGTCCTTAATTGATTATGCTGCTCCCATGTTGACATTAGCTAGAGAAAGTTCTCTCCGACCCTTGGAGTTAACGCAAAATGAAGCTCTCAGGATTATTCTTGGCTGTCCCAGATCTACAAAAGTTCTTAACATGAGGAAGGAGCTTGGTATTTCTAGTATCAGTGATAGGATTATTGAGATTAACACTGTACTCGGTATTAGAATGTTGAGAAACGAACCAGACACTGTCACAATGAATTTTACCAAGTGTCTAGAGGTAAATACACACAGATCTAAATGGATTGTGAAAACGTGCAATTACATCAAGTTTTATAACCTGCATGAACTGTATCACTGTAGGCAACAAGAGCATTTCACCCCTCCGTGGAAGATATGTTCACTTAATATCACATACCTGCAAGTCCCTCCCAAGAAGCTCGTTGCTAGTAATCCCTTCCTTAAATCTCTTGTTAGAGCAACTGCTCAAGAAGAAATTTTTCACCTAGCTGGTAGTAATAAGTTATCACAAGTTATATACACTGATGGATCTAAACAGGAGTCTTCTGGCAGGGCTGCATCTGCTCTTGTTGCCACCTCCCTTGTTAAAAACGATAATAAATTTGTTGAGTTAGGCATAAGAATTAACAACTGGGCGTCTACACTGCAAACTGAATTGTTTGCAATCCTAATGGCGCTAAAGCTAACCTATGACACTGAGCTTGACTCTATCATCATTACTGATTCTATGTCATCATTGAAGGCTCTTGACTCATATAATGACTCCAACAACATGCTCATTGGAGAAGCCAGGTATAGATACTCAAAAATTAGGGACAAAGGAATTAATGTACAATTGCTATGGATCCCATCACACATTGGATTACTCCTTCATGATAAAGTTGATATGTTAGCCAAGAAGAGTACCCAGAAGGAGAATGTAGAATATAACTCTGGTATAACTGTGTCTAGCATTAGGAATAATATTAGGAGAGAAGTAAATAATGAAAATGATTGTTATAGGAATGCAGTTAGACGTCTGAGTAGATCTATAACCCACTATGATAACATGAACGTAGATAAGTATGTTTATGGAGCAACGTGCAATGTGAACAGACTGACTGATGTTGTAGTGGCCAGGCTTAGGCTTGGTTACAAGTACTTCTGGCAGTTTGGGAGACACACAGATGATGATCAAACTAAATGTAAATTATGTGATCAGGTATATGGTCACTCTCTTGAACACTATGCGCTTAATTGTCCACTTATTGAGGAATACAGAGCCAGACAGTATAATAACCTATGTGACATGTCAAGATATCTTATTAATGAAAATAAGATACCAGATATACTAAGCAAATTTCCTAAATTTGCTTGTAACAGATAAGTGAACTATAGATATGTAGATATAAATCCATATGTATTCCTGTTAACCCTTTGGGGCCTAGTTCCTAGGCCTTTTGTGTATCCATATGCTCTCGCGCTACCGTCCACAGGATGGATATGGGGTGCACAATAAACTAGCCACTTCGGTGGCAAAATCTAAATCAATGCAAAGTTTAATAAGTTTAATGATAGTAGGAACTGGCAATGGTAAATCATAGTCAAAGAGTTCTTCAGATAAGAAACTTAATAAATCATCAACAGGAACTTTCGTAAACAAGGAAGTAACATCAAAACTAACCATGTTAAAATAATTTAAGTCAGTCAAGGAGCTTAATTTATCAACTAAATCTATGTTGTTTTTAACATTAAAGTTAGAAATTTTGCTAACAATAGGGCTCAAAATATCAACAAGCCATTTGGATAATTTATATGAAACTGACCCTATGGAGCTAATAATTGGTCTGACTGGATTCCCTGGTTTGTGTTTTTATAGTCCATACATGTAAGGTAAAGATGGATTAGTGGAAGTAAATTGTTTGACTAATTCATCTTTGCCTTTCAGTAGAAGTTTTATTGTTTTATTGAAATTGCTGTTAACGGTTTCTAGGGGATTTTTTCTAAGTTTAGAATAGGTTTCAGTATCATCTAAGAGGTTATTCATTTTTTCTTGGTAATCATTTTCTTTCATAATTACTATTGCATTTATTTTGTCTGCTTTAGTAAGGCGCAAATTTTTATTGTTATTAAGTGTATCATAAGACTTAAAGAATCTTTGAGGGCAATTGGGAATGTTTGGTTTTAAAATAGAGCTATATACCATTCCTTTACTAATATTAATTTCATCAGGGGATAAATCAGAAATTTTTTCAAAGTTACAAAAGACTTTTGCAATTTCAACATTATTAAGTTTTTTTGAAGTTGCAAAACTTAGGCCAAAACCTAGAGCAGCAGTTGTATTTTTGTCTAAAATTTCATCTGATAAGTAATTACAAAATTGTTATTAGCATGCTTTGTCCAATCACTATTTTCAATTAAAGTGTCTAATTTTCTTTGTAGTTTGTTTTTGAGTTCATTACAAATTCTTCTGAGTTTATTATAGCAATGATCCAACATACTGTGTTTCCATGCTAATAACAATTTTGTAATTAACTTATCAGATGAAATTTTAGAGAAAAATACAACTGCTGCTCTAGGTTTTGGCCTAAGAAATACCCAAGAAAAGTAATTGATAAATCTTTTAAAGTTGCTAGAAATACTTTTTACAATCCAAAAAGGGACAACCAGTCTTATTCAACTAAAAATATGTTGGTTCTCCCTTACCATGAAAACTTGGTTGATATGCCTTCTCTTCTTAAGACTTTTAATATTAAAGTTGTATTAAAAAATCTTGATACAGTAAAAAAAACTTTTGATAAAGAATTCCCCCCAAAATGCTGATGGATGTGTCTATAAGATTCCTTGTAAAAATTGCGATAAAGTTTATTACGGTCAAACTGGTAAAAATCTCGAACTAAGATTAAAACAGCATAAATATAGCATTAGAACTGGACAAGATTCAAATGCTCTATTTATTCAAGTAAGAGATTTTAACCATCCAATTGATTTTCAAAAAGTTGAGAAAGTAGTATCAAGCAAGTCTATGGTCGACAGGAATATAATTGAATCTTGTTTCATAAAAAGCAATTTTGACAATAATATGAATATTTCCTTTGGCTTATATAAATTAGATACATTTATAATTAATAGAATTTGGGAAGAATTTAATAATACACTGGACAAATAATCATTTTTAAAATTTCTTATTTCTTGGGTAGAAAAGTTTGTTGGTGGGTTGTGTGAAGGACCTGTCTAATTGGGCCGGCGGGCCTGCTGCAGTGTTCCCTTTCTTATGAGTCGCGCGTCAGGTGTTTAACTGTTGTGGGATTTGATAGTGAGGTGTTGGCTAGACCCATTATATACCTTCCTTTGATGCTTTACTTTCAAAGTTCCTTGATAATGTGAGTAGTCACGAAAGCGCTTGGAATTTCTCTATTCTTTCACAGTGGTTGTTTTGCATATTCTGAAATCACCTGTTTACTGTGATCTTATTGCATATATATATAATATATATATTATATATATATATATATATATATATATATATATATATATATATATATTATATATAATATGGGTTTCTGTGTCAAAGGGTATATAATATATATCAAGAGGTGTATCTACATGCGTTACAGGTTGTTTGATCCATATTATTTTAATATTCCAGTATTCTTGGTGTCGGTGTACACATAAATTGCGACCTTAATGGCCCTAGTGGAGTATATGTTGATATTATATTCAAGGGAAACGCTAAACCCACAACAAATTAAATGGCAAAGAATATATACACAAACAGTTGTTTATATAAAATAAGGACTTACTTTCAATCTGTTCTAGATATTAAAATGTAACTGATGTTAGTATAGTCCTTAGGTGAATTGTAGCCTTAGTAACCACATTGCCTTAGAAGTTTTAAACGTAAGACACTAACTGTTACAGCTTTAAACTACATTCGCATAAGGGTTATATCAACGTGACTCAGGAAATCGTAATGCCACGACTGCAAATACACCATATCGCGGGTTCAAACCCCACCCGTGGTATGGTTTATAATATCAAATTAAGCGCCGGGTATGTAATGTTGAAGATTGTGTACAAGGGTGAGGTTTAGTAATATATCTTGTACATTAGTAATCTTGTGTAGAATGCCGTGAGTATTGTGAACAGTGAGGAAGGTAACCGACAAGAGAAGGTACTCCGCTCAAAGATGATGGTCAGTGCAAGGAATTGTGTGGTGACATTTGAATATGTCATGAACACTAAGAAAATCAAGATTAATTCATTTATTATTATAAAAGCGCTAAACCTACAAGGGTTATACAGCGCCGCAGGGCAGGGAAGGGTGCAGGGGTATTAGATAGCAAGAGGTTGAGGTAGAAAGGGCTGTTAGGAATGCTAGAGGCATCATCATCAAAGTCTGTGCAGGATTAATTCATTACAAGTGGCAAATTTAGTTGTAAATGTATTTGAAAATTCTCAGGTATCAAGTAACGTCAACACAAATTCATTCACTAGTATCATAGCAACAAGACATTGGCCACAGTTCTGCCAGTGTCTTGCTAAACCACTAACGACAGTCTTATTAAGATATCTGAAGACAGTTTTTGGCAAGGAATCAAAAGTGAGGACTCACGGTAGTATCCCGCTCAATGACCACCACACTGAGGTCTCCTCGTGCTCTCTCCTTCAGGTGGTAGGCGATGGAAGACCCAATAGCTCCTCCACCAACCACCAGTACATCACAGCTCTCCGGACACTCATTCCCTGGTACCAATAGTATCTTTGTTAGCACTGATATATATATATATATATATATATATATATATATATATATATATATATATATATATATATATATATATATATATATATATATATATATATATGTCGTGCCGAATATGAAAAACTGGTCAATTAGCAAGAACTCATTTAAAATTAAGTCCTTTCTAAAATTTTCTCTTATACCTTTAAAGATATATTTTTTTCACTGATGTTAATGTAAAAAATTTTAATTTTGCTCCAAAAGAATCTTAGAAAACTTACCTAACCTTATTATAACAAGCGCAATTTATTTTAGCCTAACCCAACTAAATATATTTTAGATTTGTTTACAATAATTTAATACTAAACAAACACAGTGAAATATATTTTTTTCTTTAGGTTCAGAATGATTTTGGCGAAATTATTGCATACACAAATTTTCGCTTGTCATATATGGCAAGATGAACGTTGCTATTTAAGCCAAGAGATATATATATAATATATATAATATATATATATATATATATATATATATATATATATATATATATATATATATATATATATATATATATATATATATATATATAATATATATATAAGATAAGATTTCGTTCGGATTTTTAACCCCGGAGGGTTAGCCACCCAGGATAACCCAAGAAAGTCAGTGCGTCATCGAGGACTGTCTAACTTATTTCCATTGGGGTCCTTAATCTTGTCCCCCAGGATGCGACCCACACCAGTCGACTAACACCCAGGTACCTATTTGCTGCTAGGTGAACAGGACAATAGGTGTAAGGAAACGTGTCGGAATTTCCACCCGCCGGGAATCGAACCCGGGCCCTCCGTGTGTGAAGCGGGAGCTTTAGCCACCAGACCACATACATATATACATACATACATACATACATATATATATATATATATATATATATATATATATATATATATATATATATATATATATATATATATATATATATATATATATATATATATATATATATATATATATATATATATATATATATATAATTATATATATATATATATAATATATATTATATATATATATATATATATATATATATATATATATATATATATATATATATACATTATATATATATATCTATATATATATACATTATATATAAAATATATATATATATATTTTATATATATATATATATATATATATATATATATATATATATATATATATATATATATATTATTGTAACCACGAACGAGTGGTATTGATCAATAACAACACTGCGCTAGCCAAGGATTCGAACCCATGTGGGAGCTTAGAAGCTCCCACACCTCCGTATGCCCTCGGATGGCGGCCCTACAGCTAGCTCTGTGCTGGCTGCGCCATTCTTGTAGGGTTGGGTGGTCCTGTGGTTTAAAGCGTCATGTGGTTCTCGCTTACCATGAGGCAGGCCAGTACAACATGGATTCGAATCCTTGGCTAGTGTAGTGTTGTTATTGATATATATATATATATATATATATATATATATATATATATATATATATATATATATATATATATATATATTATATATATATATCATGGGGTCTAACTCTGGTGTAAATTTTGGGACGCATAGCCTCGTAAGAGTGGATAAGTAAATAGGATAAAAAGACAATTAAAAAAAACTGTATTATGAAAACAGATTACATAGCATAAAAGGTGATATTAATAAGACCTGGTAAACCTCATCTGAAATTCTAGGAACTAATAAGATATCCAAAAACAGAATAATCAACCTAAGGAAACCAGATGAGCCTGTTCTCCAACCAACTGATATTGCCAACAAACTTAATGTCTTCTCGACCATTGGAAAAAATCCAGCAAGTAGAATCCCAAGCTCAAACACTCAACCAACAGACTACCTCACTGGCAACTACCCAAACACTATTTTTATCACCAACCCAACTGAAATCTCCCTCATCGTCAAAACACTTAGCAAGGGTCACCCTGATCCACAAAGGAGGTGATCCAACTGACCTGAACAACTACAGGCCTATATCTAATTTACCCCTTCTTTCTAAAATCTTTGAAAAATTAATTCATAAACAAGTCTGTTCCTACCTAGTCTCCCTTAACATACTCAACCCCAGTCAGTTTGGATTCAGGCCGAAAAAAACACGAATGATGCTATAATGCACATGCTAGGACTAATATACACGGCCCTTGAAAAAAAAAAAAGAACTCCCCTGGGAATCTTCATCGATCTACGAAAAGTTTTTGATACAGTTGATCATGACTTGCTGCACCTAAAGTTAACTCACAGAATAAGAGGGCACTCTCTCAATTACCTAAAGTCATACCTTAGCAACAGAAACCAGTATGTATACACAAATGGAGCTAACTCTACCACACAACCAGTCACTGTTGGTGTCCCACAAAGTTGTGTTTTTGGCCCACTTCTCTTTCTCATTTACAGCAAAAATCTACCAAACGCATCTAAACTCCTCAAACCCATATTATTTGCAGACGACACTACTTACGTCTTCTCTCACCCAAATCCACTTGTGGAAAATTGCATTTATCTGAATGTATCATTATGTACATAACAGAAAATGACAACAAAGATAATTATTATTTATCAGAGTTACATAGACAAGTAGGAATTTGGGACACCTAGGTCGCTAAAAATGTCCCCCTTCGATACCTACCACTGTCATATCCACAAGTTGCTCTAGACCTATTAATCATAAATAATTTGTATCACCAGGAATGCTGGTAAATATATAAATTTGTGGACTGTATATTAAAAATAATAAATGATTATAGATACACATATATACACATTTATACAACAGAAGGAGAATATATCTTAATCATAACACTCACCAATTTGACTGGAGATTAATGTGTCATGTACAGGACCCCCCCTTTTGCCTACATTTATGAAGAATTTACTGGCCAGAAATTAAACATAATTTAGACAGCTTATCTGAGGTTCCTGGAGTTGTCCTGTCTTGTCGCCTGATTCTCAAATTATGCAGGAATGCACATCCAACAATTTCGCCTCCTATTTGAGAGGTGTCAGCCCAATTTTAACCTCTAGAGCACGAAAAATTCTTCCCATTATTCACAACCTGTTACTCAATTCAAACAAAATGGCGACTCACCTCCCCAGCCGCAGGTTTCCCATTTTCGATAACATACTTCTTTTAAAAATACAATATAGGGCATCTATTTACCTTTAAATTACCGTATTTCCGGAAAATATATACAGTATTTTCCACACCACTCATACTAACACTGTAAGTGCTGAATTACAGAAAACATTTACCTGGATAACGACCAACAGGCTTACTCTCAATATAGACAAAGCCTACACCATGCAATTTGGAAAAAGGGCTTCAAATGTACGACTTAACATAATGATAAATGGATCACCCATTTCTAGACTCACGGAGGGTAAATTTCTGGGACTCCACCTTGACAGCCGTCTCAAATTCCAGAAACACATACGACAAATTTCTAAGAAAGTCTCTAAGACAGTAGGGATTCTATCGAAGATACAGTACAATATACCACGATCAGCTCTCCTTGCTCTGTACCACTCACTCATTTACCCCTATCTCACTTATGGAGTCTGTGCATGGAGCTTAACTACAGTGAATCACCTCAGACCCTTAATAACCCAACAAAAAGCAGTAGTCCGATTGATAACAAATTCCAACTCGAGACAGCTTACTCTGCCACTATTCGAGAATCTTAACTTACAAAACTCCAACACTTTTTATTGTGCATACTACATACATAGGACACTGCACTCTAATATCTCTCCCTATGCTAAAAATGCTATGCACATACTGCCAGAGAACACTAAAGAACCCCTGTCTGCAAATCTAAACAGCTTCCAAGCTGCTTTCAATTTCACCTCCATTACCACATACTGTGCTAAGGATCACAGTGTCACTCACTTAAATCTCAAAACTTCAAAAATCGATGCTCAATACCTACATAAAACTGTACTGACTTATACTCAATTGTAACAATATCATACTATAAACTGCTTTCAACATGGCACATTGTAATATTCCCATATCGTAATTTAATATAATATAATATAGTTTATTTGGACATGATACATAGTTGTACAAGGAATTATAGTAGTTGGGTGTACATGCCAAAAGCGCCTTGTATGCAGAGGATTATGGGCAGGCTTAAAATTAACTTAAGATTAACTAAGCTATGATAGATTCAGTGGTAAAAATTACAGTAAACAATTTACAATAAGAAGTACAAATGAGTATTTTAAACAATGAAATTTGAACATTTCAATTATGAAGCATTATAGTTGTACATATTTGTTGTATTACAATGTATAACAAAATGGTCAATTTACTATATGTACTCATGCAATTTAATCCGATCAAATCGAATAAAATCAATGATTTATAGTTTCATAATTAGCTCATATGGTCATTAGATGATTTGTTAATTTTGTAGGTAGCGTTAAGTGCTGCGTATTTAGTTTTGGGTGAGTAAGTGGTTTTTAAGAAGTCTTGAATTGATAAATAGACAGTTTCTTTTGCATTCACAGATAATGAATTCCAAATTTTTGGGCCTTTTATGTGCATTGAGGTTTTACATAGTGTGAGATGGACAAGCGGAACAATAAAGAGTGATCTATGCCTTGTGTTATGGTCATGTGTTCTGTTGAGGTTGGAAAGCAGAAGTCAGAGGGGAGGGTTTATATCTGAGTTTAGTGTTCTATGTATACAACCTGTATACTTCTTTCAACTTGCCCCATTGTAATATTCCCATATTGTAATTTGAGTCAATTTACTATCTGCTATATATAAAAACATGTACAACTTGAACAAACTACTATCTATTAGTATTAAGTAGTCGGTAAACCATTAAATTTAGATTGCCCGTAATGCCAAGGCATGATAGTGGCTCTCTTTGCACTGCAAATCATTACTGTAATTACACACTGTAATCACTCTCATTGTAAACTTGCAAAGAAATAAACATTTGAATTTGAATGTGATTTTTGCACGGTGACAACATCATGGGGGAAAGTGGTAGTATATCATAGATTGGGCTGGGCTTTGAAATGAGCTGAAGTAAGATAACAGCTCTTAGCCGCCTGTAAAACTGATTTGTGTAAAAAAAAAAAAAATCAGTGACACAGGTTCTCACCATCACTAAAGCAGCGTGATGTGTACTGGAGAGATTTACGCCAGCCGCAGCCAGCTTGAATAGAGTTCCACAAGTTAATCTTCCATGATTTATGCAATAAGAGGCACTGCCGCAAATGCCGCACAGGACCATACATCCCGTAGTAGAAATACACGTAATGCAGTTATGACACTGAAGGATGAATACCAACTGACACCCACTGTTAACAAGGGCCTCGGTGTGTGTGTGTCTGGGGAGAGTGAACGTCATACTGCGGTTACCTATAATACACGTTAATGGGTTGCATGTGGATACAGTGATAACAGATACAGACACGTACAAACTGATAAGGAAACGTAATGCTTTAGGTTTGAATTTATGAACTCGGAAAATGGAGATGTGAGTGTATGCACCTGGCTATGTTGCCGGGTGCATATTCATGGGTAGATTTTAGATTTTGCCACCGAAGTGGCTAGTTTATTGTGCACCCCATATCCATCCTGTGGACGGTAGCGCGAGAGCATATGGATACACAAAAGGCCTAGGAACTAGGCCCCCAAAGGGTTAACAGGAATACATATGGATTTATATCTACATATCTATAGTTCACTTATCTGTTACAAGCAAATTTAGGAAATTTGCTTAGTATATCTGGTATCTTATTTTCATTAATAAGATATCTTGACATGTCACATAGGTTATTATACTGTCTGTCTCTGTATTCCTCAATAAGTGGACAATTAAGCACATAGTGTTCAAGAGAATGACCATATGCCTGATCACATAATTTACATTTAGTTTGATCATCAATCTGTGTGTCTCCCAAACTGCCAGAAGTACTTGTAACCAAGCCTAAGCCTGGCCACTACAAGATCAGTCAGTCTGTTCACATTGCAAGTTGCTCCATAGGATTATGTAGCGCATGTGGGGGGATGGAAGGTATCCAGGTTCATTTCAGAGAACTGGAGCACATTATTTATTATAATCAAGGGGGAAGCGCTAAACCCGGAGGATTATACAGCGCCTGGGGGGGGGATGTGGAAGGCATTCAGGCTTAATTCAGGGAACTGGAGCACAGATCCAATTCTCTAAATCAAGAGCCCCTCACCAACATCAAGGAACCTTCCTTGAGGGGAACTGGAGCACAGATCCAATTCCCTAGATCAAGAGCCAGCGTCAAGGAACCTCCCTCGAGGGGTACTGATAAGCAAAGAACTAATCTGTGTAACACTAAGACAAATACGGTGACTAAATCAATTGACAAATGCAGAAAGACGTTGAGCCTCCCACCCCTCTACCTGTCCTCTTCATACCCCTCAAGGGAGGTTCCTTGATGCTGGTGAGGGGCTCTTGATCTAGGGAATTGGATCTGTGCTCCGGTTCCCTGAATTGAGCCTGAATAACTTCCATCCCCCCACCACAGATGCACTATACTCCTACGGGTCTAGCGCTCCCCCATGATTATAATAATAATAGTCCTCTTCATATGTATTAATGACTCAATAAAGTTTACCTTACTCTGTACAAAGAGTGGATCAGATCGACACCATGCCTAACCCTTCTAGGGTAGGGTAGGTGCCTGATTATTATTATAATCAAGGGAGAAGCGCTAAACCCGGTGGATTATACAGCGCCTGGGGGGGGATGTGGAAGGCATTCAGGCTTAATTCGGGGAACTGGAGCACAGATTCAATTCCCTAAATCAAGAGCCCCTCACCAACATCAAGGAACCTTCCTTGAGGGGGGTAGGTGCCTGAGCCCGAGCCTTTAGCTCATAAGACTGTCATTCCCATTTGCCCCCTTGGGGCGGGGATGGCAGACCAGAGAGGCCTAGCTTGTGGCTAGGCCTGGGGACAGTTGGTCCCAAAGATGAGGAGGTACTTGTGCCTCCTCCCATGGGAGACTTAGGTCTCAGACACTCCCTAAAGAGGGAGCCAAGGCCGGGCCACCACTTGGACAAGGCCCGGGCCGGGAGAATACCGGCGAATCTTTAATAATAATAAATAATAAAGAGTGGATAGGATAGACCAATCATCGGTTACCTTCTTTAATTAGCCACCCATAACCTGTTTTCTTTCATTTCATTCTCACTCATTCGCCTCACCTCAATTCTTTCACTTCTCCTTTCTCGTCATTCCTCTTATATTGACCTAACTAAAAAAAAAATAGTCAGATTTTTTTTCCTTTACGGTTCAGCCCTTTCTCGCACCAAGAATGGACAAGGACTTGAACAATGATCCATTCTTCTGTTTATTCAGATAATCGTTCATTACAATATATCCAGTTTATATTTAGGGGAAGCACTAAACCCACAGGGGTTATACAGGGTGTTTTTTCTGCATTATTTGTGGTTAAATATACATTTCCATAGGTACATGTACGCTAACCTAAAGTAAGATAAGATTTCGTTCGGATTTTTGACCCCGGAGGGTTAGCCACCCAGGATAGCCCAAGAAAGTCAGTGCGTCATCGAGGACTGTCTAACTTATTTCCATTGGGGTCCTCAATCATGTCCCCCAGGATGCAACCCACACCAGTCGACTAACACTCGGGTACCTATTTGCTGCTAGGTGAACAGGACAACAGGTGTAAGGATGCGTGTCGAAATGTTTCCACCCGCCGGGAATCGAATCAGGGCCCTCCGTGTGTGAAGCGAGAGCTTTAGCCACCAGGCCACCGGGCCTGGGGTCACGTAGGGTCTGTGAATGGCAAGAATGATCAGATTGGATCCAAGGAAAAATAAAAAGCCCCTCACTGGCATCAAGGAATTTTTCTGAAGGGGAACTGGTAGTGCAGTTATTAACTGAATATACTTAAGCTTTTGGTGAAGATGTTAATAATATTCTCCATAGGGAAGTGGAACAGATTTCTTCCTCCATAAGCTATGCGTGTACGTAATGTTGGTGTACGTTAAAAAGCATCTTTCCATTGTACATTGCCCAAGTTTCAATAAGATAGTCCAACAAACAACTGAGATCCAATTCCCTAGATCAAGAGCAAGAGCCCCTCACCAGCATAAGGAACCTCCCTTGAGGCCCACTCGCATCTTGAAATTTCACTGGCGTCTGGAAGCAAAAAATCGACCGAGCAACATTACTAAAATTAAAGAGAGAAACTTTCGTTTTTCTTTTTGGGCCACCCTACCTTGGTGGGATATGATCGGTTTGTTGAAAGAAGGATTAATAATAATGAATATGCTTAAAGACATGAATGTCAACTATGCTGATACGAGTGAGTTACAGTGCATTAATATATTGCCCCTACCCTACTAGTCAAGGTATCTTTTATGTGGGATGGGAGGAGTTATGTACATTATTATAATGAAAACCAAGTGCTAAACCCACCAGGGTCATATTATTATAAGTAAAAAGAAGCGCTAGGCTTACAAGGGTCATACAGTGCGGCACCAGAGTCATACAGCACTTCAGGAGTTATGTGTTGTACAGTATTGTGCTTGTGTGAACATTTTTTTTTTTCCTACCACAGATCATGAATGAAAAACACAGTACATGTATATATTTAATGTTATATTGGGAGGACATTTCCTATTTGTCAAAGGTATAATGGTGTATGGCCTACAGTCAAACTGTTTTCCATTGATAAGATATATTGGATTGCCTTGTTGTGATAACCACCAGACCATATAATAATGGCACTTAACCCTTTGAGGGTCGACAGGCCCTCTCCGAGACTTGTTCTCAGGGTAGGCCAAATTTAAAAAAAAAAAATTTCTTATGAAAAGATAAGAGAATCTTTTCCCGATCATAATGACACCAAAAGTATGAAATTTGATGGAAAACTTACGGAATTATGCTCTCGCGAAGTTAGCGATCTCGACGATGTTTACGCATCGGCGATTTTCCCCACTTTGAGCCCTATTTTCGGCCAATTCCAGTGTACTAGTCGACAAAAATCATAACTATTTCTCTAGAACTCCATTTTTTCTATTGAATGAGTACAAGAAACCACTCATTTACTGATTTCAACTATCCAATACAGTGGTCAGAATTTAGCAATTTTGCCAATTTCACACAAATTTCAAAAGATGCCAATTTCCAAATAGGGTCCAGAATAAACAAGAAAGTCATTCCTGGCACTAAAATAACATTTCCTCTGTTCGTTAGTCACATCCCCAGGCCCCTCTTATATTTCTTTGGCTTTCCACTTTCAATTTTTATTCTTACAAAAAATAGAAGATTTACTGTTATGCAGACTGCTGCATTAGTGTAGAAATGGTATAAATAATATCAGCGCACTTGTGAAAGAATATTAGACTCGCCAGTTGATGTGTATTGGACGCTTGGCATGATGTGTTTGCTTTTGAACTGGTAAAAATCGAACATTTCTGCTACTTTGAGCTCAATTTCAAGGTACTTTTCATTGTAAAACCAGTCAAAATCATTTCAATTTCTGTAATAGGTCTTCCATTCTATAAAATGAGACCAAGAAAACTAGAATACAACAATAAATACCATACGAAAATACAGTGCAAAGTCGCTGTTTTATTCCAAAAACACAGTTTTTTTTTTTCTCATTATGCAGTGTGTGCTGCAGGATTTTTTTATACTGCGCACACTGACCACATAGACCCATTCTTTCATATGTAGGCGTACTAGTACATCAAAAACCCTGGGTCGTAAGCCGTACTAGTACGGCTGAAACCCTCAAAGAGTTAAAAATTGCTTGGCAACAATTCAGGTGGTTATAATAATAATAATAATAATAATAATAATAATAATATTCATTTTTACAGGTATACAAAACAGACCTAGCTGATATCACAGGCATACTATATAGAAAGCCCCTGGTTTTGTAGAGCATTTCCAGTAACCTAGGTTAATATTATCCCCTAGGATGTAACCCACATCACTCGGCTAACACCCATATACCCACGTACTGCTAGGTGAACAGGGAGAGCAGGTGTATGGATACATGCCTAATGTTTCACCCATGCCAAGGGTCAATCCCAGACCCCTCAGTGAGAGACAAGGATGCTACCAACCAAGCTACAAACACTTATTATGTTTACTGTGCATTATTACATTCATGGGAAGTGCTAGAATTGTCTGTGGGTATGAGAGGTATTCAATTTCAATATAAGGAAGGGGAGGGACTGCTCTGATTGTTTAGATCAAGAGCCCTTCACTGGCATCAAGGACTGGTTATAAATGACCATAATTTTTAAAGGGGTGGACCGGTAAGCCAGCGGAAGGCCTCGGTCAGATGACCAAAAGCTCCAAAGGCGGGTCATCATCTGACTAAGACCCGCGTCAGGAAACATTTGTCCTGTTTCCTGACGAACCTTACCTAACCTAACTGGCATCAAGGAATGTCTTTTGAGGGGTATGGACTAGACAAGGCTGACTTGTGTTTTTCTCTTTTCCTATTATAATAATATTCATAGAGATCAAATTTTCAAAGCTACTGTAAATCTATAACAACCATTACAACAATTGATTATTATTATAAATGGGGAATAACTAAACTTATAGGAGCATAAAGTATTTGGGGATAGGAAACAATAAGGTTCAGTCCGAGGGATGATAGGTCAAATTTCTTGGAACAAGAGTTCACCTGCATCAAGGAACCTTTCTTGACATCATATATTCCAGTGTCTGTAACAATTAATGAACTTCACTGTAATGTTTGTCCGAATTCAGTGTAACCATATTATTGTAATTGATACATTGTTCTTGTAGTTTATTACTATTAGTTTTATTACATTAGTGGAAGAGTACTAAACCCATATGGGTCATACAGTGCCTAGGGAATGGGAGGCAATCAGATTCAATCCATGATAGGGGAGGATAACTTTGATTTCTTCTATCACGAGCCCTTCACTGGCATCAGTAAATCTCTTGAGAAGTCGTCATCATCAGATTGATAGGGAGCACTAAACCCATAGGGGGTCATGCAGTGCCTTGGGAATATGAGAGGGAATCAGGTTCAGTTCAAAAGCCCCTTATCAACATTGTCATTTTCCTGGAAAGGCACAGGGTGTACAATCAGGCAATAACTGTGATGGGGACAGTAGCTACAGGTTACACCTTCCATAGGCCATCTACCTGAGAATCATGTTTCATATTCATATGAAAGTGCCAAGCCCATAGGGGTCATACAGTGCCTGGGGAATGAAAAGCAATCAGGTTTAACTCATGGAAGACTATAACAACTCTTAATTCCTTAGACCAAAAGCAATCTTAAATACAATATTTAATACACCCTCAGCAAAAGATGTCTAGTGTAAAATGCACTGTTCATGTTTCAGTTATAACCAATTTTATTATTAAATTTATGGGAGAGTGCAAAACCCATAGGGGTCATAAAGCACCCGAGAAAAATGTAAGGAATTCAGACTTGACTCAAGAAATTGGGGCACAGGTACAACTCCTTAGATCAGGAGCTTCTCACCAGCATCAAGGAGCTTCCTCTGAGGGGACCAAATTTCATTATATAAACACAGGGAAGCATTAAACCTCTAGGGGTTTGGGAGTGGGAGATAAATCAGTTTCAAGGCACTTTGCACATGTGCAATGGCAGATAAATCTTACTTTTACTTCAATATAAATTTATATTTACTTTTGTTTCTCAGTAGTTATTACTGTTATACTGTACATATTTCCTTATCACAATTGCCCTCTAGGGTGGTAAGGGCAATGATCCCTGGTACCATTAACAGCAAACTGCCTATCACTTATGTACTTAAAGCACTGTTGTCATACCACTTCAAAGCTAGTATATTATCCATTATCAGTAAAGTGAAATCACCATGACACACACTCAGGGACATCTGTTTTCTGCTTACATTCCCATTACAGCAAGCTCCAGTATCATAAGTGGACAAAAATTTACATGTCTCTGATGGTATACCTAATATATTCACAAGGAAGCTCGAAACCAACAGAGGTCACGCAACACCTGGGAAATGGAAGGTACCATAAACAGGTTTGCTTTGAGGAATAGGAGGGTCACTTGACTTTCTTGGATCAAGAGCCTGTCACCAATATTAAGGTACCCATCCCTCATAAGGGTTGTGTACTAGTCACTGTACAATAAGTCCTCGAATAATCTTGTTTCGTTCAACACTGTTTCATTATAACATTGGTGAGAAAAAAATTGATTCCCAGCTGGAGCCACTATTCATAAAGTATATGATAGTCATACAAATGCACAACAATAAACAAAGCAGTACAAAAGCACTAAACAAGCCCACCATATTTGTTGTTTGTCTTTGGACTGCATGGTGGTAGGAGATGCTCTTTACAATTTTTGCTTAGCAAATATTTGTTCCTAAATTTAACCCTGTTGTAATGAGTGCTAAAGGTACACTGTAGAAAAAAAAAAAAAAAAGGTAGTGTGACATTAGAAGTTTTAAAGAAATCTGACGATGGACAGCAAGGTGTGCTTTCAAACCATACCACGGGCAAGGATAGAACCCACGATCAGTCGTAAAACTCCAAACCGACGTGCTAGCCACAAATCTTATTGTAGCCAGCTGGCCCAGTGGATAGTGTGTCTGTCTGGAGTTTTGACTCTAATCACGGGTTCTATCCCCGCCCGTGGTATGGTTTGTTTGCAATCGTGTCATTATGATTTCGTGAGTCAGGTGTGCTTTCAAAATACTGTACTCCATTTCGCTTAAAGTCACAGTTACCTACTGATGACATTGAGGACTTACTGTATATTACCAAAAAGGTGAGTGGTGCACTGAGGTATCTGTAGAGACAAAGAACATTATCCAGGGAGGCAAAGAAGGGAATGTATAAGAGTACAGTTGTACCAACACTCTTATATGGGTGTGAAGCATAGATTGTAACTGCTGCAACGAGGAAGAGACTGGAGGTAGTGGAGATGTTGTGTCTAAGGGTAATGTGTGGTGTAAATATTATGCAAAGAATTTGTAGTGTGGAAATTTGTAGGAGGCCTGAAATTACTAAAAGTATTATTCAGAGGGCTGAGGAGGGGGTATTGAGGTGGTTTGGTCATTTAGAGAGGAAGGAGTGGGGTAGGAAGTCACTGACATTATGCAGACTGTATGACTAACAATGTGACTGAATTTAAGCAAGAACTAATGCTTTAGAAGATGAAAATTTTGAAGATTCATAAATTTTGTGAATAACAAAAAATGACTATATATTCATGCATTCTTTTATTTTAGAATAAAATAGAAAATAAAAATATGGTATCAGAGAAACTTCGGAGATGTTTCAATGTTTATTAGATTACTGTATTATAATCTTTTTTACATTTCTTAAAACTACAGTACACCAATTTCAAGAATAAAGATAAAATGGAATGACTAAATGATAACCACTCAATACATATCACAATATTTCTCAATATCTCTTACTTTTGTTCTAAATGGCTATCAGTTAAAAAACCAAATAGCAATGACTAAGGCCTTTAATTAATGACAAAGATATAATATAAATTCTGTATATTAAGATAAATGCAGAACTGAATCCACTGTAACTATCAACTGCCAATGTCTGCACCAAATTATTAAATACATATTTTATTAAACTATGAAGACATTCATAGCCCAATGAACACAAGAAATACGTAACTTAAATTAGAAATGAAGGATGCCATCAAATGCTTCAAAGATCCCCTGAGCTACATCTGTTGCCCTCGACTTCAGCGATAACTGTAAGAAAACAAATATTTGCCCTTAAATGTTAATGTCAACTCAGACATAAAAAAAAGACATAATATAAACAAAATCAAGAATATTACAAAACTGATCATTGGATCTGAAGTATGCAATTATGTAATAACATTAAAAAAAACTGTTAATGCACAAATGTCAATTAAGAGAACGTTTACCCAACAGAGTATGTGCACTTACATCATCAAATGCACTAGCATTTTGTTTACATTTGAAGCTGGCAGTCAAGTTGACGGAGTCGTGCTGTACGAGTGATATAAGTTTTCAGCAAAGTGAGCGTAAATAACCAAAAACCAGTGCCTTGTGATATTCTTAAGACTTTATCTGGTCAACATCAATATTAATATGTACATGGGGAAAATGCTATATCATTAATTTGGCCCACCCAACTTTGCTATCAAAAGCACCGTTCTTGCCCAGGTTATCATCACCTTAGGATTCAAGTCATTAGGTACTGTATATACAGTATACCTACTATCTTAATCGCTCTTCTCTGAAAACATTACAAAACCTAAACCCTGTAGGTCTTTGTTAGTGGAATAAACTGTTTTTAATGTTTGTGTTATGGAAAACTTAAATATAGTAAAATCTTATTTGTAAGCAGCTCTCATTTTAATCTTTTCTAACAATCAACTTCTTTTTAACTACAGTATATGGCAAGACTTTAGTTAAGTAAGTCTAGCCTACCTGTTCAATTTACTATGTTAGGGTAGTTATAGACTAAAGTGAAAATAGATAAAATGGTTACAGTTTTAATAGCAGACTCAGATTCTACCATGTTTAAGTTTCCATGATTTGTAATCCTGTCATTTTTTTTAGCATAAAAAAATCCAAGCTATGAGGCCATATAAAAATACGTAAAGTAGCACAATAGTACACATTAACATATGTACTAAGAACATACAATGGAAGAAAGGGAAGAGGGGAGACATGAAAGAGGGAGATAGGAGGGTGAGGTGCAAGAGGGATAGAAGGGGAAGATGGGAGATGGAGGATGAGGAAAAAAAGAGAGAGGAGATAAGAAGAAAGGAGAGAGGAGGAAGGAAAAGTTACAAAGGGAGAAGAGGAAAGGAGGAAGAATTAAAAAATGGAGGAAGAAGGGAAAACAAGAGAGGAAAAGAGGAGGGAGAAAGAACAGAGGGAAAGAGGACAGAACAAGGAGGGAAAGAGGACAGAACAAGGAGGGAAAGAGGACAGAACAAGGAGGGAAAGAACAGAACAAGGATGGACAGAGGACAGGAGGAAAAAAAGGTCAGAATGAGGGAAAGAGACAGTACAAGGGGAAAAGGGAAGGATAGAACAAGGAGGGAGAGGAAGGATAGAACAAGGAGGGAGAGGAAGGATAGAACAAGGAGGGAGAGGGAAGGACTGAACAAGGAGGGAGAGGGAAGGACTGAACAAGGAGGGAGAGGGAACGACTGAACAAGGAGGGAGAGGGAACGACTGAATTAGGAGGGAGAGGGAACGACTGAATTAGGAGGGAGAGGGAACGACTGAATTAGGAGGGAGAGGGAACGACTGAACAGGGAGGGAGAGGGAAGGATAGAACAGGGAGGGAGAGGGAAGGATAGAACAGGGAGGGAGAGGGAAGGATAGAACAGGGAGGGAGAGGGAAGGATAGAACAGGGAGAGAGAGGGAAGGATAGAACAGGGAGAGGGGGAAGGATAAAACAGGGAGAGGGAAGGATAAAACAGGGAGGGAGAGGGAAGGATAAAACAGGGAGGGAGAGGGAAGGATAAAACAGGGAGGGAGAGGGAAGGATAAAACAGGGAGGGAGAGGGAAGGATAAAACAGGGAGGGAGAGGGAAGGATAAAACAAGGAGGGAGAGGGAAGGATAAAATGGAGGGAGAGGGAAGGATAAAACAGGGAGGGAGAGGGAAGGATAAAACAAGAGGTAATGAAGGAGAGGGGAAGGAGGAAAAAATTATTGTGCAGCAAAACCCTGCAATTATTCAGTGCTTCATATACTAAAATGTAACTCACCATTTAACCCATGGGTATAAACAAAAATAATAAGATATAAACCCAAGAGCACACACATCCACTACTAAAGCAATGAATAACAAGATTCATGTTAGTTTGGAAATCTATGCATCTATTAAAAATCCCAAGTTCTTGGCAAACAACTTAGTAATTTTAAAAAGGATGTTAAACCATACAATGCCAAAGCAAAGAGGGCATAGTTAAAATATATACTGTACACAGTGAGCAGCACACAAGAGGAACAAGGATTCCTGGTAAGCAAAGCAGGCAATCCTGGTAGAAGTGGAGTGCAAATTAACAGTTCCTATGGAAAGACGATGGCCCAACACTTGTGTCCAGCTTGGACATGCAGAAGGCATGTGTGAGCGCATTAGATAAGAGTAATTGGAGACTAATGGCTTTTGGGACCTGACAAGCTGTTGGAGTGTGAGCAGGACTCGAATCCTGGAGGTTGTACGTATATGAGCTCCTCTGCAAAGATAGTGACAATGTGTGAATGATAGTGAAGGTACAACTTACCCATTCCTTTGGGTATGACCTACTTCCACTGGGGAATCCTGACTACCAGTGACTATGCCCTCGTCTGCTACCCATCCCAATCCACCTGGAGTTAGTATATAACCACCAGTCTCCTTGCCTCAGCTCCAGAATTTTCACGACTATGGTGCTCTTCACACCAACTCCAAGGCTGAGGGACTGATTACCTCATCTTTTGTATATAGCTCTACTGTCTTCAAATTATGTCCTAGAATCTGTATTGATAAAGCTACTGGATGGCAAAAACATCTACAATAATACCCAGATGTTGCACGTGTCTCAGTTTTCATCTTGTCGGTATTGTATACCATTCTTGAAAGCTCTTGTTCTTAGATTGGCACTCATTTTGCCTTATATCTAATAAGAATGTTGGTTAATATAAATAAAGCATGCACCTTTAAAAACCACTTTGTAACAATGATACGAGGTAATGCAAGACAACAGCTCTCAATCCTGTAAAACAAAGTGAGAGAATAAAAGACAAGAAAGGAGGAGGGGTAAAGAGAAAGTTTGAATTCACACTGAGTAAATATTAATTATTATACATACAGTGATGTGATGCAACAAATGGAATACATAATCACACAAAAATTCACTGATATTACTCAGCCTTTCTAAATTCTTCATAACTGGTACAGCCAATTACAATCAAGAATATAGGCTTCTTAACTGACACGTACAGTACATAAATTCTGCAATGCTTCTATCCATAAGCAAATAGTAAATTTACTAGGCTCATAGTGTTGAATAAAATAGATTTTTGGCCTTTAGAAAAATACTGGATATTGTATAGAAAATATGCATGCACATCTTCAAGCAAGGATACATTGTGACAGTAAGCTGATGCAGTAAATTTGGCCTATGTTCCATTAATTGTAAAATTAGTTACAAAGGCTTATCTTGCTATCATACAAATTTTGAATACTGTAGTTTCTAATGAATTAAGTAATAACCATGGGGCAGTAAAAGAAGGAATATCCATTTTCTCCCACTGGTAATTTTTTATACTGGTTAAACTCACAGCAGTGCCACTTTGTTGCCTGCTCCATGTTCCCTACTGCCATCATTCTTATAATTCTGTTTTTGTTGTACTTTTCAAACTTTGTCTGTCACTGTCTTTTGGTTTCTTATTTGTATCTACTTGCTGAGGGTAGTACTCATTCCTGTCTAGCTTGTCCTCCCAAGTCACAACGTTGGTTTTTTACATCAAATATAAAATAAAATTTACTAAAACACATGTAATGCAAAAATATCCAACAGAAAGAGTGCATTTTGACAACTGAATAGAAAACACCACAGAAGTAATGTTCTACATTAATTTCAGTATTGCATTTAGCATGGTGTTTAACCCTTTCAGGGTCCATGCTGTAGTTCTATAGCTTTCAGTTGAGGGTCCAAACCATGAGCTCGGCTCACTCAGATGAGCTGTGAGCTTATATGAGTGGGCCTAGATATGAGAGAATACATCTATGTGGTATGTGTGCACCACATAAAACAAATCATGCAGCACATAGTGCATAATGAGAGAATAAAAAGAGACTAATTTTCGATTAAAACAGTGACTTTACAGTGTTTTTCCATACTTTTTTATAGTTGCATTTGCGATTTCTTGGTCTCATTTGATAGAATGGAAGATATACTACAGAAATAGAGATGATTTTGATCCCTTTTAGTACTGGAAATGGCTTGAAACTGAGCTCAAAGTAGCAGAAATGTTAAATTTATGCTGATGTTCAAGAGTAAACAAGTAACCTCACACGTCTAATACATGCCAGCTGGTGGGTCTAATATACGTTCACATATGTGGTGATATTATTTATACAATTATTACAATATTGCATAGCAGCATAACAATAAGTCTTCTATTTTTTTGGTTTGAATAAAAATTCATTATGTGAATAAAAAATCAAAATGAAATTCATTTGTAAAGCCTGAAAACATAACTAATGAAGAGGAAATGTTAGTCGAGTGCCAGGAATGCCTGCACTGTTTATTCTAGACCCTATTTTGAAATTGGAATACTGTATTTTGAACTTTGCGTTAAATTGGCCAAATTACCAATTTCCGATTACTATTTTGTAGTTGAAACAGTTGACTGGGTGATTTCTTGTGCTCAATTGATAGAAGAGAAGTAATACTAGTGAAATAGCTAAGAATTTGGTCGACTGGAGTAATGTAATTGGCCTAAAATAGGAGTCAAAGTCAGCAAAATCTCCGATGCGTAAATTTCGCTGACACATCAAATTTCATGAGGGCATAATTTCATAAATTTTCCATTAAATTTCGTACTTTTTGCTTTATTACCTTCAGAAAAAGATTCTCTACTATTTCAAAAGAAAAAATAATTTTTTTTTTTTTGAAAATTCTTGGACCATGGTGCACACTTTGAAATTTGACCTCTGGACCCCAAAAGGGTTAATTCCATTAAAAAAATCCTCTTAAGAGAATAAGTTGCTCTTTTCACACATTCTCGTTTCTCAAGTAAAAAAGAAGAAAACCTGTCTCAGGGCGAATGTGCAATTCTGTGATAAATCTCTGATGTCTTTTTATCCCATGAAAGTATTTTAAATGTCCGGTAAACATTCAAATAGCCATTTCTTCAAGGATGAGTGATTCCAAGATGTTAAAGATAAAGACAGACAGTTTTAAATATAGTTATGTTGGGTTTTCTTAAGCTATTTATATGTATATTAATGATTAATCTTCCACTAGCTTGTTTTATTGCAAATTTACACTGAAGTGTTAAATGGTAAAGATCAGTTAGTGCTGCGAATGAATTTGTTTGTTGCATACCTATTTCTTACATAATAATAAATGTGGTCTCTTCTCCATGGGGAAGTGAACAAAATTCTTTCCCCGTAAGCCATGTGTGTTGTAAGAGGAGACTAAAATGCCGGGAGCAAGCAGCTAGTAACCCCTTCTCCTATATATATATATTACTAAATTTAAAAGGAGAAACTTCCTTTTGCCTTTTGGGTTTCCCTGCCTTGGTGGGGTATGGCTGATTTGTTGAAAGAAGAAATGTGGTCTATCATAGTTATTATCTCTTAAGCTTCCACTCTGTAGTCAAAAAGTATTTTAAAATGTACATTAATAAATCATAGTAAATATAAACTGGAAAGTAACTTAACAGATCTGAACGAAATAAGCTTTTTTATCAAAAATGAAATAAAATATTATACCTATATTGTAAAATACAGGTATATGATTTAAGCTATACAACAGTATATCTGTAGGGAAAGGAAGGCTGGGTAGGGGTCGTCCTCGAAAAGGCTGGAATGAAGGGGTAAGGGAGGTTTTGTGGGCGAGGGGCTTGGACTTCCAGCAGGCGTGCGTGAGCGTGTTCGATAGGAGTGAATGGAGACGAATGGTATTTGGGATCTGATGATCTGTTGGAGTGTGAGCAGGGTAATATTTAATGAAGGGATTCAGGGAAACCGGTTATTTTTATATAGCCGGACTTGAGTCTTGGAAATGGGAAGTACAATGCCCGTACTCTAAAGGAGGGGTTTGGGATATTGGCAGTTTGGAGGGATATGTTGTGTATCTTTATACGTATATGCTTCTAAACTGTCATGTACTGAGCACCTCTGCAAAAACAGTGATTACGAGTGAGGTGAAAGTGTTGAATGATGAAAGTATTTTTTGGGAGGGATTTTCTTTCTTTTTGGGTCACCCTGCCTCTGTGGGAGACAGCCTACTTGTTAAGAAGAAAAAAAAAAAAAAAAAAAAAAAATGAGACCCAGAAAGACTGAAATAGAAAACAATAAGAAAGCACCCAGGAATTTAAACATGTAACTGGATAGGTAGGCTGCCATAGTCAATCTTGACTTGTGGCACTCAGGCTGGTTTACTACCCTTCCTATCGACAATGGCACTTCCAGCTATATACAGTGGAGTGCTTTCAGCTTAAATCCTTGGTAACTATAATATATTGCCATACTGTAGTTTTTCCAATTTCTTAATAAAACATAAATATCATGCTAACAAGATTAGAGCTACAATTTTAGACACATTTTCCAGGTTAAAAAGGTTACAGATGACTGTTAATGTGCAGTATCTTTTTTGAATATGTTACTCCCTGGTCTTTGAATAACATTATACACCTATACTATTTTCTTCACTTTCCAATTAAACAGAAACTAGAGAACACCTCATACATTTTTAGATATCCTGTGACACCAGTTTACAAAACTCTTTTTAAGTCAGAATGAAATGATCCCCATTCTACATTTGACTAGTATTTGATAGAATGATGAGCAGATGGCCCATTACATCTGTGGTGACATTCCACAGTACAGAATGAGGCATTCATATCCAGAATTCTCTGAATACAAGACTACAATTTGCAAGTCAACATAACTGACTGCCAGCACTAAGTGTTTTATCATGTGCACAATCTCTTATAGGTTATATAATCCCAAAACTAAACACAATTTTTACCTCTTTTCCTATATGTACTGTCCCAAACTTTATATAAAAAAAATTTATCTAAGATGAAATTTAAAAACTAACAATAATGAGGTACATACCACAATGGTAGTATTGCCAGGCTGTACTTTAAGTTCAGTAAGAACCCAAATACCATTGGTTAACTTGATGGATTGGTATAACATGTCTTGACCTTCAACGTTGCGCTTGGCAATTGTGAAAATATTTGAACTTTGCAACTTGTTAGAGATTCCATCTGTAAAACAACCAGTAAAACTTAATACATTTATGGAAATCAAGAGTACAAATTAATGAACACTGACTATTTTCACACTAACAAATATTATCATACACACATTTGACCTCATAAAAAAAAAATGTACAATATGCTAAACCTTTGATTTAACAGACTTTGGAAATACAGAACAAAATCATCTGCACCAAGTAATCTTGAAAAACAGCAGAAAAAAATCTATTGATTACAGAAATGTCCATTAATTTTATAGTCATGCCAAGAACACTGCTATTACCAGCTTCATGCTTCCCCTTATTAGTCTGTTACAACAAAGGTTTAATGTATGTTAAGCATCTAAAGCCAGTTTAAATTTAAATCAGTGCCTGAATTTACTGCAAATGCCACTTTACAATCCTAGAAAATATTTGAATCCCATACATTTATATCTTTCAACTTACTCCAAACTAAAATATTGGGATTATTTTACATCTTACACCATAAAATACTGTGTACAAGTGGAATGAATCTTAAGTATTTTCACTCATCAGGCACATACTGTTTAAATACCAAGACTGAATTTCCAAGTAAGTACCAGCAATGCTATACTGCATTACCACTACTGTGCTTTACAGTACATTCTTTGAAGATATACGAAATAATTGCAGCAAATGAAAATGTGTATGCACTTCACCTTAAGCTGTTTGAGAAGAAAAATGAAAAAAAATCTTAACTATTTCCACACCTGTGCAAAATCCAAATAAATAACCACCTCTAGAACTGATCCACTATTCAGAGGAGGTTTATACACTGATGACAAGAAAAAAATAAGGAAAATGTTGAAAAACTTGCATGACTCAAATGTTCAGTAGTCCATTAGATGACGAGAGAGTTAAAGATACAAAATTTTTTCATTACCTCTGTCCACCTTACAAAGCACATCTGACATAAGCACAAATCTCTCAAAAACCAAAAAGGAAATTGAAAACATGCTCACACATGCAGCACCTGGGCCAGATTCATGGAACACGCTACTGTATCTAAAGTGCAAACACCAGCAGAAAATTCTTCTATACAAAGAAGAGACAGTTGATTATTCTAATTATGATAATTATGGGCGAGAGCTAAACCAGTTGGATTACACAGCGCATGGGGGGAGGGGATGGAAGGTATTCAGGCTCAGTTCAGAGAACCGGAGTACAGATCCAATTCCCTAGATCAAGAGCCCCTTACCAGCATCAAGGAACCTTCCTTGAGGGGAGGAGACAGTTGAGCTCTGGTAAAAAACTACACACCAGTAGCACTACCACACACGTCATAAAAAATCTTTGAAAGGCTGGGGGAGACCCCGAATTACAAATTTTATGGAAAAAGATGACTTGCATAATTCAAGTCAACATAAGTTTAGAGCTACTATATAATTATGACAAGATTATGGATGCTTTGGAAAACAACCAAAATATACATATGTGGTCTTCATGAAATATGCTCCAGCATTTAACGAAAGTGACCATGAAGTGATAGCCCATAAAGTAAAGTCAACATTATGTAACAAGAACATGTATATTTAATTTTCTGATTAAAAGAATACAAAGAAAGGAAGTGAACAGAGAAGCAAAATCTAGCCTTAGAAAGGTATTACATTCTTTATCCTATGACATGGTCCTGGAATCCTGACTTTCTTCTCCTCGTACATTACACACAAAAACAAGCAACAGTTTTGTAATGCCTTTGATGAACAATACAATAAAAATAAGTCATATCAGGCCATATAGGTAAAAAAAAAAAATATAAAAAAAAAATGCAAGTAGACATCAATAAAGTCTTAGCAGGCATTGGAAAATAACACAATATTCAATGGTGACAAATTTCAAACACTTAGATATGGAAAGAATGAAGAAATCTGGTTCCAGGCCAAGTTTTGAGGGTAGGAAAACTCTTAAAATGAGTCACATGTATATCTAAGATCCTAAATCACTACTGCATCTAATTTTAAAATCAAAATACTGACTTGACAACTTTCATACATTCTCACCACCATGCAAAATAAATAAGATTCTCCAGAATCAACTATATAACATTCAAATTCATTTCTCCAATTTTTTTTTTTTTTTTTTTCAACAAGTTGGACATCTCCCACCGAGGCAGGGTGACCCAAAAAAGAAAGAAAATCCCCAAAAAGAAAATACTTTCATCATCATTCAACACTTTCACCAAACTCACACATTATCACTGCTTTTGCAGAGGTGCTCAGAATACAACAGCTTAGAAGCATATACGTATAAAGATACACAACATATCCCTCCAAACTGCCAATATCCCAAACCCCTCCTTTAAAGCACAGGCATTGTACTTCCCATTTCCAGGACCCAAGTCCGACTATATGAACATAACCGGTTTCCCTCAATCCCTTCACTAAATGTTACCCTGCTCACACTCCAACAGATCGTCAGGTCCCAAGTATCATTCGCCTCCATTCACTCCTATCTAACACGCTCATGCACGCTTGCTGGAAGTCCAAGCCCCTAGCCCACAAAACCTCCTTTACCCCCTCTTTCCAACCCTTTCCAGGACGACCCCTACCCCGCCTTCCTTCCCCTATAGATTTATATGCTTTCCATGTCATTCTACTTTGATCCATTCTCTCTAAATGACCAAACCACCTCAACAACCCCTCTTCTGCCCTCTGACTAATGTTTTTATTAACTCCACACCTTCTCCTAATTTCCACACTCCGAATTTTCTGCATAATATTTACACCACACATTGCCCTTTAGACAGGACATCTCCACTGCCTCCAACCGTCTCCTCGCTGCTGCATTTACCACCCAAGCTTCACATCCATATAAGAGTGTTGGTACTACTATACTTTCATACATTCCCTTCTTTGCTTCCATAGATAACGTTTTTTGACTCCACATATACCTCAACGCACCACTCACCTTTTTTCCCTCATCAGTTCTGTGATTAACCTCATCCTTCATAAATCCATCCGCCGACACGTCAACTCCCAAGTATCTGAAAACATTCACTTCTTCCATACTCCTCCTCCCCAATTTGATATCAAATTTTTCTTTATCTAAATCATTTGATACCCTCATCACCTTACTCTTTTCTATGTTCACTTTCAACTTTCTACCTTTACACACATTCTCAAACTCATCCACTAACCTTTGCAATTTTTCTTTAGAATCTCCCATAAGCACAGTATCATCAGCAAAAAGTAACTGTGTCAATTCCAATTTTGAATTTGATTCCCTATAATTTAATCCCACCCCTCTCCCGAACACCCTAGCATTTACTTCTTTTACAACCCCATCTATAAATATATTAAACAACCATGGTGATATTACACATCCCTGTCTAAGACCTACTTTTACCAGGAAGTATTATTTTTTTTTTAACAATGGTTATAAATGACCATAATTTTTAAAGGGGTGGACCGGTAAGCCAGCGGAAGGCCTCGGTCAGATGACCAAAATCTCCAAAGGCGGGTCATCATCTGACTAAGACCCGCGTCAGGAAACATTTGTCCTGTTTCCTGACGAACCTTACCTAACCTAACCAGGAAGTATTCTCTCTCTCTTCTACACACCCTAACCTGAGCCTCACTATCCTCATAAAAGCTCTCTACAGCATTTAGTAACTTACCACCTATTCCATATACTTGCAACATCTGCCACATTGCTCCTCTATCCACTCTATCATATGCCTTTTCTAAATCCAAAAATGCAATAAAAACTTCCCTACCTTTATCTAAATACTGTTCACATATATGCTTCAATGTAAACACTTGATCTACACATCCCCTACCCACTCGGAAGCCTCCCTGCTCATCCGCAATCCTACATTCTGTCTTACCTCTAATTCTTTCAATTATAACCCTACCGTATACTTTTCCTGGTATACTCAGTAAACTTATTCCTCTATAATTTTTTACAATCTCTTTTGTCCCCTTTCCCTTTATATAAAGGGACTATACATGCTCTCCGCCAATCCCTAGGTACCTTCCCCTCTTTCACACATTTATTAAACAAAAGTACCAACCACTCCAACACTATATCCCCCCCTGCTTTTAACATTTCTGTCATGATCCCATCAGTTCCAGCTGCTTTACCCCCTTTCATTCTACGTAATGCCTCACGTACCTCCACCACACTTACATTCTGCTCTTCTTCACTCCTAAAAGATGGTATACCTCCCTGGCCAGTGCATGAAATTACCGCCTCCCTTTCTTCCTCAACATTTAAAAGTTCCTCAAAATATTCTCGCCATCTACCTAATACCTCCCTCTCCCCATTTACTAACTCCCCTACTCTGTTTTTAACTGACAAATCCATACTTTCCCAAGGCTTTCTTAACTTGTTTAACTCCAAAATTTTTTCTTATTTTCATTAAAATTTCTTGACAGTGCCTCTCCCACTCTTTCATCTGCTCTCCTTTTGCACTCTCTCACCACTCTCTTCACCTTTCTTTTACTCTCCATATACTCTGCTCTTCTTATAACACTTCTGCTTTGTAAAAACCTCTCGTAAGCTACCTTTTTCTCTTTTATCACACCCTTTACTTCATCTTTCCACCAATCACTCCTCTTTCCTCCTTCCCCCACCCTCCTATAACCACAAACTTCTGCCCCACATTCTAATACTGCATTTTTAAAACTATTCCAACCCTCTTCAACCCCCCCACTACTCATCTTTACACTAGCCCACCTTTCTGCCAATAGTCGCTTATATCTCGCCCGAACTTCCTCCTCCCTTAGTTTATACACTTTCACCTCCCTCTTACTTGTTGTTGCCACCTTCCTCTTTTCCCCATCTACCTCTTACTCTAACTGTAGCTACAACTAAATAATGATCCGATATATCAGTTGCCCCTCTATGAACATGTACATCCTGGAGCCTACCCATCAACCTTTTATCCACCAATACATAATCTAACAAACTACTTTCATTATGTGCTACATCATACCTTGTATATTTATTTATCCTCTTTTTCATAAAAAATGTATTACTTATTACCAAATTTCTTTCTACACATAGCTCAATTAAAGGCTCCCCATTTACATTTACCCCTGGCATCCCAAATTTACCTACTACTCCCTCTATAACATTTTTACCCACTTTAGCATTGAAATCCCCAACCACCATTACTCTCACACTTGATTCAAAACTCCCCACGCATTCACTCAACATTTCCCAGAATCTCTCTCTCTCCTCTACACTTCTCTCTTCTCCAGGTGCACACACGCTTACTATAACCCACTTTTCACCTCCAATCTTTATTTTACTCCACATAATCCTTGAATTTATACATTTGTAGTCCCTCTTTTCCTGCCATAGCTTATCCTTCAACATTATTGCTACTCCTTCTTTAGCTCTAACTCTATTTGAAACCCCTGACCTAATCCCATTTATTCCTCTCCATTGAAACTCTCCCACCCCCTTCAGCTTTGTTTCACTTAAAGCCAGGACATCCAGTTTCTTCTCATTCATAACATCCACAATCATCTCTTTCTTATCATTTGCACAACATCCACGCACATTCAGACTTCCCACTTTGACAATTTTCTTCTTCTTATTCTTTTTAGTAATCTTTACAGGAAAAGGGGTTACTAGCCCATTGTTCCCGGCATTTTAGTTGACTTTTACAACATGCATGGCTTACGGAGGAAAGATTCTTATTCCACTTCCCCATGGATATAAAAGGAAAAGTAATAAGACCAAGAACTATTAAGATAAAATCAAAGAAAACTCAGATGAGTGTGTATAAATAAACGTGTACATGTATGTGTAGTGTGACCTAAGTGTAAGTAGAAGTAGCAAGACATACCTGTAATCTTGCATATTTATGAGACACACAAAAGACACCAGCAATCCTACCATCATGTAAAACAATTACAGGCTTTCGTTTTACACTCACTTGGCAGGACGGTAGTACCTCCCTGGGTGGTTGCTGTCTACCAACCTACTACCTTAATTTCTCCAATATTATCTTGCTCTAATCAGCCTCAATTTCCATTTCAATGAACCACTTGTCATTTTTTATATTCTACATGTTTAACATGTTACTTTATCTACAAGACAAAATAAAAAGATGCAATATTTCTTTTTACCTGAACATCTGTCTCCCATCAGGGCAGGTTATCTAAAGAAAATGCTTTTGACATCAAGCATTCAAGCTCTGACTTACCAGAAGTGTGCTGACATCACACTTCAGATTACCCTCTGACTGCAGCATCCCTACCCTTCCCACCTCCAGGACTTAAGTCCAGTTAACCAGTTTCTTAGACTCCCTTCATATCTACCTTGCTCACTTCCAACAGCAGCTCTGGCAGGACAGCTATTGAATGAATGATGATGAATATTTCCTTTTTCTGGGGTTACCCTACTTTAGTGGGAGAGGGCCAGTATGGAAATAAATACAAATAATACAGTACTTACTTTATAAAGGCTAGTGGATCACAAGTCCTAATTTTCAATGTGTTATTCATTTACTGCTTTTTTCAAACTCCTTGAAGATCACAAATCTATGTATACTACAAAATCTTAAAAGGGATACCCATAATGGTACCATCTTATCTTCAGATACATTACGTAATGATCCTTTGTTTTGTAAATGGAGTGTAAAGCCTAATTTCCAGTCATTATCTGATTGAGACCCATATCAGGAGAGTTTGTTTTCTGACTAATAAACCACAATCACTAAAACCTTTCATAGTGTTATCCTCTAAATTTTGTCAAGTACAATCAAGTCGAGTTTCTCTCAATTAGTGGACAATCTTGCACTGAATGAACCATATGAATTTAGCATTTCATATATACAAGTACAGTACTAAGTACAGTTGTAGTATGCCTTGTCCACATCAGTCCCTGAAATTGCCATCTAGGGTCCTTCAAGTGTAAATTAATTCCTCTTCAGGAAGTTATGTATTTACAGCATATACAAAATTTACATGCAAATTTTCCAAAATACTAAAATATTTAATGCTATACATCAAAAATTAAAAAAAAGAAATACACTCAATAACACTTTCAGTTTCAAATGTGAAAAATATAACAGTTAATCAGAATTAATGCAGCAGTAATAGTAATTAAGCTTCAATAGCTTGTTGATTGTGTACTGGGTAAATATTGTTCCTACATAATTTCAGTTGCAGAAACACATTTAGAAGGGCCATGCTATGTACTGTATACATTTAGGGAACTAAAATGAAACCTATTTACTGTATGAAGAATAATTAAAATTAGATGATACTCAAACTTGGAATGGTAGGAATATTAATAATTAAAGAGTACAAGGAACCATATTTACCCGTAGTTGATAAGCCGTCTGTGGACAAGATACACACTTCCATGAGTCGGTGTGAACAATGGCACATATGGATTAAGCATTTGTAATAGAAAATTCTTACGAAAAACTTACTGAACTTCAAATGTAAAATCTAACAATATTAATAATTTATCCTTTATTGCTCATTATACTGCAAGATATTTTACTCAAATTCAATGCATTTCTAAGCTATTTTTTATGAAAGTGGTAAATGGAAATGTACTGCAACCAAAATAATAAAAATATTTTGATGGCATGAAACAAAATGTTTAATGTTCTTGGCTTATGAAGTATTCTATTAAAAAAAAAAAAAGTTTCAATGGAAGAAAAAATTATGTATTTAGTAACAAAATTACAGTACAATTGTAACTATATAAAAATCCATTCTTAATAAAAATGTAAAGAAAAAAATTGCAAATCACAAAAGAATTTTTGGGGGGAAAAATAATTACTAAGTGTATGATGATTAATTCTGACTAAAGGATAAGGTATGGATTCTCATATATTAAGCAATACTGTAAAAATTTGCCATTTTAAATTATTCTAATTACTATCTGCTTTTTTTTTTTAATTTCATGCTTTTGCATACATAAAATAATCTCTTGTTCTTCATGCTTCCAGACAAAACACCTTTCTCTAACATCCTTTCTTCAAAGCTTATTCCCCTCAACTCAAAATGTGCTACATATTCATGAATGGGTCCCATGAGGGGTGAATGTACTACATTCTGATTATAAACTCAGCCTGTGATGCCGATGTTATCCTGTTTATGCACTTCAGGTGATATGTTTGGGATGATTATTCCTAGGTCTTTTCTTTAAAACTGTTCCACTCTCCTTCCATGACTCTCTCTGGTCTCTTTTCTCCAGTCTTCCAGTGTCATAACTTTGCTTTTGTCTGGGGTTTAAAATGAAATAACCATTCAATATATCTTTCCTAAAGTTTGTCTGTCTTCCTGCAGCCTTCTCATTGCACTTAATTTGTATTCTCACTTTTTTCCATGATCTTTAAACAAGCATATTAGGAATTTTTTCCTGTTGCCAGGTCAATACAGCTTTGTACAATAGGAAGAATATAGTGCCCTACACTGAACCTTGTGTGGCCAAGTTACCACACACCCTCCCACTTTAATACTACGTACGACCTTTATGGGAACACTCATTAAGTATTCCCTTATGCTAATACCTTGCCTACTACCTTGATTTACTTATCTATTTTGCTAGATACAGTCTATGTCTCTTTCCTGCTTGTTTTCTGTCACTATACACATCTCTTACAAATTTGCTGTGTAGACCTTCCATTTCTGAATTCATGCTGGTGTTCTATGAGGGATTCAGTGCTTTCTAGAATCTAGAAGATGAACAAGTCTTTCTTGATAAGTAATGTGCATATTACATTTATTAATTATACTGGTTATCTGTTCAGAGCTGCTTGCTCTCCCCTCCCCCCCCCCCTTTTTTTTAATAGACTTGTATAGCATCAGGTTTGCTACTTTCAGAGAACTACTTCAGTCATTAACAATTTATTAAGATCTGTTTGTGTGGCTTGTACAGTATATCAGCTCTATTCACTGTGATATTTCATTGGGTCCTTTGGCCTTTGATACCTTTAATCAGGAATCCCCTCTTCATTAGTTGTTTATATCCTTGATAGTTTCACTTAGTATGTATTCTCTCTTCTCCCTAGTGTTAGCTCTTGCTCTAGGAACAGTCTATAAGCTCATTCTATCTTTCCTGTTACTTTCTCAGGGCATATTCTCTTATTTCCATGTTATTCCACAGTCATTTACTGTAGTTTTTCTTCTGGCATGTCTGAAGTAGCTTTGTTTTTTTGCTTTCACTTTTACATCTATAAATTATTTTTCAGGTTCCCCCTCTCATTCAATGAAATATATTTATTTCTGGCATTTCTGTTAACTTCTTTTCTCTGGCAGAGTTTGTTTTACAACTTTTCCATGTTCTTATGTTCCAACTTTTGCCTCATTACATCAATACACAAGTCATGGACTCTCAGCATTTTATCTATTTCCCAGCATTTCTGGTGGAAAAATGTAATTTCCTAGGTGGATTGTCCTCAAAATCAAGCAAGCTTTTGTATTGTTCTCTGCATGTTCCAGTTCTGCTTATGATAATTTGCTGACTCAGGAGCTCTATTTTATTTCCTAATGCCCATTTTCCATCATGAGTTTGTAGAAGTCTTGGTGTTATTAACGAAATTATCTACTGCATCCATAACTCGTGTACACTATTGCATCGCCTCAAATACACATTGTATCATGTCTGCTAGATGGCCCGTTTTTACTACTAGGCAAGAGTACGATATGCTTGATTAATACTATGAGATGTTAAAGAGACAATATGCACTTTATGGCCTAAATTGCTTGTGTCCTATTAACATGCTTGTCGAAATATATATTAACACCAGTCATATATAATACTAGAACGGGTCACAGGATATGGAATGCAATCCTCCCTTAATTCACCTTTTTGTGATCCTGTTTACACACATTAATTTGAACATTTTTATTTGGCCAGCACATGTTTAAATTTTCTCCATGGGGAAGTGGAACAGAATTCTTCCTCCGTAAGCTATGCGTGTCGTAAAAGGCGACTAAAATGCCGGGAGCAAGGAGCTAGTAACCCCTTCTCCTGTATATATTACTAAATTTGAAAGGAGAAACTTTCGTTTTTCCTTTTGGGCCACCCCACATCAGTGGGATACGGCTGGTATGTTGAAAGAAAGTGTTTAATTTGGGGGGGAACTTAAGATTTTATGGGATGCAGATGAAAAAATGATATATGTAATTAAGAGAGCAGTAGATGACAGTAAGGAATGCAACTAATTAATTAATGTATCAACAAACAAATGACCCAACTCCTCAAATGACTTCTATTAAAGTGCAGGATCCATAAAAAAACTACTTACCAGCATTCATGTTTATATTTTCAATATTAAACTGAACTTCATTTTGGCTTGGAATGTCTTTCCATGTAGACAGGAATACACGCTTGTCCATCGCACCATCCTCACAGAAGAAAATGTGCATTGGCATGACTGTTGCAAAGTAGAATACATCCACACTGTTTTTTATGGCTACCTGTGGGCAAATATAATCATAGGTTAGTTTCACACAGATTAACCAGACTAGTTATAAAATCTTTAAACTGTGATAGCAAAGTTAAATGCATATCTTAATTTTATTTTGCATCAAAACATTCAGGTTGATCTGTACCCGTTCTTACCTGTAAGTTTGTGAGAGGATCCATGCGCTGGACAGGGCCACTTGTACTGAGAATAAGGCTAACATCTATTGACTGATTAGGGGCTAAAGGAGCAGGAACATTGAGTGGTGCAGCTGGTGTAATACCAAAACTGTTCTTATTAAGCTGGATAGCAAAGCCTGTTATGGGTTGCATAGCCTTGTTGTGTAAAGTCAAATCCATTGATATTACTCCATTTCTGTCAAGATTAAAACAGTTAATTGTGAAGATGTGAAGAATATGTACAATAATTCAAATAACATTCTCTTGGCAGACTTCCATAACCGTGATTCTTTTTTAAGAGAAACCCTTTTCCTAAGTAATGGAAATTGAATAATTTAACATTAATCAAGTAGGTCATAAATTTTAAATGTAAAAGAAAACATGCATTGTGGTAATCAGTTTTGTAATGGTGATTTCATCAAACTTGTACTTTTAACCACTTATATAAGTTAATTCATATATGTTAATTATTATACCCTTTCTTAGATGACAAAGAAATATCCTGCCTAAGATTTAAGTCTAAGATTCTCAAATTAAAACTGTACATTACACTTACAGAACTATACACAAGTCCATCTGCATGACCAACTGCTGCTTGCTACTTTATTAAGAATTAAGTATATGCAAATTTAAATTGGGTTTCAATCCCGAGTTTAACAAATGCTCTGCAGTAGTATTGTAAAGCATCAGTTTCAAAGAAAGCTGCAATCTAAAATAACAATGACAATCTTTGAATTTAAAAAGCAAATATTAAAAATTCCAAAAAACTTTTAATAGAAATGCAAAAAAATTAACCCTGAAATTTATTAACATCCTACTCTCTTCAACATATCCTCCACAGCACAAAAGAACTGCTCAATTTATACTAAAAAAAAAAAAAAAAAAAAAAAAAAAAAAAAAAAAAAAAAAAAAAAAAAAAAAAAAAACTTACTTGCGAGAGAATGTGCCTGTAATCTCCATTCCTTTCCCACGATTTGCTGGAAGCCAGATTTGCTTAGGTGGAGAGTAGACTGGTGCAGATGACGATGTGATACCAAAGATGTCACCTAGAAGGCCTGATCACACGTGCAAAATTAGTATAATGTATCACAAACACTGTACATACCTATATAACATATATTCAAAAGTAACATTAAAAATTTTTAATTATGTAACAATTTTTATAAGAAACAAATTTTACGAAAGATGTACAAGACTTCCAAGCATCAACAATGGTTCAGATGTTAAAGAGGTACTGTAATTAAACTTTTCCTATTTCTACAAACTATCATATAATGGGCCAATTGTACTAATTAAGGGTTAAGTGCCCCACCAACCTAAAAGTGCCAATTATCTGAGTAGTTTCCAAAATATGTACTACTTATAAAACATACCTATTTGGAATCTATTTACCAGTCAACACTCTACATTTACTATAATGGGATACTATTCAATTAATAAATAACAAAAGGCGGGTTATTTGTGTATACTATTCAATTGGTGGGGCAATTACCCCTAACATGACAATTGCCCCATTACAGAGTTTATCAAACAAATCTAACTTAAATGATAAAGATAAAACACAACTACAAATACCTAAAATATTATATGCTTCTTTAAAAACAGCTGTTTCAATAACATAAAACATGTTTTCAAAATAGTAAATTGTTAACATGCGATAAATTTACAGCAAACTCCCTCAATACCTGTATCACCTTATCAATAGCATTACATGGAAAGAAGAGATGTACATCAATACCAAATTACAATGTATTATTGTAGTATCATGATTTAAATATGCAAAACTAAATGTAAACCATTTCATCATAAACAAATACTTCATTGATTAAATGTGCAATTTAAATGGTGCCCATAATATTAATGGAGCTCTCAAATAATGCATTATTGAAATTACAAGATCACAATTCATCCAGTGCCTTATGAATTGAACCCCCTACAGAGTTAACCAGGGAATTACAAGATAACTCATAACCTACATGTTGCAGTACAAGAACATCTGTAAAGCTGAGTATTCAATATAAATATCTATTTGCAACAATTTGCAAGAAAAATGTATGCAATTATACCTGCAGTAGATGAGGGAGCTACTGGAGGAATTCCTGGAGCTGGAGAACTTCCTACCTCAGCTCCACTACCCCCCAACAAGGAGTCAAGCCCTCCACCCAGGAGGTCCAGGGTACCTCCAGAGAAAGCTACCACAGGAACAAGATACAAATAAGTACTGGTATATAATACATCCTAATGCATAAATATGTTCCTAATGCAATATATGTAAGCTTAACATTTCTTAATGTAGGAAAATGCTACCTGCAAATAAATTTTGGAATTACAGTGTATATGTTATACATCTCCTAGGTAGTAGATTGGTAGACAGCAACTGCCCAGGGAGGTACTACCGTCCTGCCAAGTGAGTGTAAAACGGAAGCCTGTAACTGTTTTACACGCTGGTAGGATTGCTGGTGTCTTTTTTTCTGCCTCATACACATGCAAGATTTCAGGTATGTCTTGCTACTCCTACTTACACTTAGGTCACACTACACAAACATGTACAAACATATATATACACATCCCTCTGGGTTTTCTTCTATTTTCTTTCTAGTTCTTGTTCTTCTTTATTTCCTCTTACCTCCATGGGGAAGTGGAACAGAAGTCTTCCTCCTTAAGCCATGCGTGTTGTAGGAGGCGACTAAAATGCCAGGAGCAAGGGGCTAGTAACCCCTTCTCCTGTATATATTACTAAATGTAGAAGGAGAAACTTTTGTTTTTCCTTTTGGGCCACCCAGCGTTGGTGGGATACGGCCAGTGTGTTGAAAGAAAGAAGATGTTATACATCCGTTTGCAAGAAAAACATTTACGTAAACTAACGTTATTGCTCTAACCCTTTCAAAGTTATCAAGTGCATCTATAAAGCAGATGGATAAGTCATGTGCAATATTTAGGTATTTACTGACGGCCATTAATATAACGATACTTCCTGACATAACAACAGCACATTATCTTAGTTCAGAGGACATCCACAACTTTATTGTTCTAGAACTTATTGGCATGCTCAGCAAGCCTGCTAGTGAGCCCTGCCTCCTATGATGCCATTTACAGTGCCACACCTCACTTTCGGCTGGAGTATGTAAGCTTGGTCCAATTGCCACTACTTCAAACTGATCAAAGCTATGGAATGGAACACTTTCTATCTAGGCTGAGGGACTGAATACCTCAAGATAACTTTCCTCACTTCAGCTGTCTCAAATACATTACATTAAAGGGGCTTTTGGCATGTACATCCAATTGTTTTACTCCTTTATACAATCATGTATCATGCTAAAATAAAATTATTACTATCATTATTATGTATTCAACTGAAGCTTGCTATGCAGGTGAAACATTTCAGTAATAAATACCAAAATGCTGCACATGTCTTAATCATCTACTCATCCATAGTGTATATAATAACTATTGGGCAAACAGAATTTTTTTTTTTTTTACATTAATTAATACGAGAGAAGGGTTGGAGGGTGTACTAGGGGTTTGAACATCAAATAAGCTTGTGTGAACATATCAAATCTAAGCAAGTGGAGGCAAGTGGCCTTTTTATGACTTGACATGATATTGGAGTGTGAGCAAGGTAACATTTATAAAGGGATTCAGGGAAACTGGTTAGGCAGACTTGATTCCTGAAAGCATAGTGTCTGTACTCTGAAGGAGGGGTGAGAATGTTGCAGGTCAGAGGATCATCTGAACTGTGATGTCGGCAGCCTCTAGAAAAACAGTGATGGAATGAATGCCGGTGAATGATCTTCCTATCTGTGGGGGAAAGGGGGTGAATCACCCTGCCCCTTTGGAAGATGTCTGGCATTAAAAAATTACCGTATTCCACGACTTATTAGACGCGTGTTTTTTTTCCATAAAATGTCTCCAAAAACCACCCTGCGTCCTATTAACCGAAGGTTAGTGACGGGAGCTATGAGTTTGGGGTGGGCTGTAGCTCTCCCAGTTTTGTCTGATGCCGAGCCTTTGAAACTAAAATAAGTCTTATAAGCTGCAAAATACGGTAGCTGAAAATGCTGTATAACTAAATTATCAATGCATGGTTTAAATAAACTAGTGTTTTGACTGGCTGTTAACTCAAATAAATAAATAAATAAATAAATAAATAAATAAATAAAATAATATATATATATATATGGCCCTAAGCGAAACAAAGCTGAAGGGGGTAGGAGAGTTTCAGTGGGGGGAAATAAATGGGATTAAATCTGGAGTATCTGAGAGAGTTAGAGCAAAGGAAGGGGTAGCAGTAATGTTAAATGATCAGTTATGGAAGGAGAAAAGAGAATATGAATGTGTAAATTCAAGAATTATGTGGATTAAAGTAAAGGTTGGATGCGAGAAGGGGGTCATAATAAGCGTGTATGCACCTGGAGAAGAGAGGAATGCAGAGAGAGAGAGAGATTTTGGGAGATGTTAATGAATGTATAGGACCTTTGAACCAAGTGAGAGAGTAATTGTGGTAGGGACTTGAATGCTAAGTAGGAGAAACTTTTAGAGAGGGTGTGGTAGGTAAGTTTGGGGTGCCAGGTGTAAATGATAATGGGAGCCCTTTGATTGAACTTTGTAAAAGGAAAGGGGTTTAGTTATAGGAAATACATATTTTAAGAAAAAGAGGATAAATAAGTATACACGATATGTTTGTGGGGCGAAATGACAGTAGTTTGTTGGATTATGTATTGGTAGATAAAAGACTGTTGAGTAGACTTCAGGATGTACATGTTTATAGAGGGGCCACAGATACATCAGATCACTTTCTAGTTTTTAGCTACACTGAGAGTAAAAGGTAGATGGGATACAAGGAGAATAGAAGCATCAGGGAAGAGAGAGGTGAAGGTTTATAAACTTAAAAGAGGGGGCAGTTAGGGTAAGATATAAACAGCTATTGGAGGATAGTTTGGGCTAATGAGAGCATAGGCAATGGGTCGAAGAGGTATGGGGTAGGTTTAAAAATGTAGTGTTAGAGTGTTCAGCAGAAGTTTGTGGTTACAGGAAAGTGGGTGCAGGAGGGAAGAGGAGCGATTGGTGGAATGATGATGTAAAGAGAGTAGTAGGGAAAGAAAAAATTAGCATATGAGAAGTTTTTACAAAGTAGAAGTGATGCAAGGAGGGAAAGAGTATATGGAAAAAAAGAGAGAGGTTAAGAGAGTGGTGAAGCAATGTAAAAAGAGAGCAAATGAGAGAGTGGGTGAGATGTTATAAACAAATTTTGTTGAAAATAAAAAAAAAGTTTTGGAGTGAGATTAACAAGTTAAGAAAGCCTAGAGAACAAATTGTTTTGTCATTTTAAAAATAGGAGAGGAGAGTTTATTAAATGGAGAGTTAGAGGTATTGGGAAGATGGAAGGAATATTTTGAGGAATTGTTAAATGTTGATGAAGATAGGGAAGCTGTGATTTCGTGTATAGGGCAAGGAGAATAACATCTTGTAGGAGTGGGGAAAGACCCAGTTGTGAGTGTGGGGGAAGTTCGTGAGGCAGTAGTAAAATGAAAGGGGGTAAGGCAGCCGGGATTGATGGATAAAGATAGAAATTGTTAAAAGCAGGTGGGGAATATAGTTTTGGAGTGGTTGGTGCAATTATTTAATAAATGTATGGAAGAGGGTAAGGTACCTAGGGATTGGCAGAGAGCATGCATAGTTCCTTTGTTAAAGGCAAAGGGGATAAAAGAGAGTGAAAAAAACTATAGGGGGATAAGTCTGTTGAGTTTACCTGGTAAAGTGTATGGAGAGTTATAATTGAAAGAATTAAGAGTAAGACGGAGAATAGGATAGCAGATGAACAAGGAGGCTTTGGGAAAGGTAGGGGGTGTGTGGACCAGGTGTTTACAGTGAAACATATAAGTGAACATATTTAGATAAGGCTAAAGAGGTCTTTGTGGCATTTATGGATTTGGAAAAGGCGTATGACAGGGTGGATAGGGGGGCAATGTGGCAGATTTTTGCAAGTGTAGGGTTTGTAGGAGGTAGGTTACTGAAAGCAGTGAAGGTTTTTACGAGGATAGTGAGGCTCAAGTTAGAGTATGTAGGAAAGAGGGAAATTTTTTCCCAGTAAAAGTAGGCCTTAGACAAGGATGTGTGATGTCACCGTGGTTGTTTAATATATTTAATAGAGGGGGTTGTAAGAGAAGTAAATGCGAGGGTCTTGGCAAGAGGCGTGGAGTTAAAAGATAAAGAATCACACACAAAGTGGGATTTGTCACAGCTGCTCTTTGCTGATGACACTTTTGCTCTTGGGAGATTCTGAAGAAAAGTTGCAGAGTTTTGGGGGATGAATTTGGTAGGGTGTGCAAAAGAAGAAAATTAAAAGGGTTTAAATACAGGAAAGAGTAAGGTTATGAGGATAACAAAAAGATTAGGTGATAAAAAGTTTGGAATATCAATTGGAGGGAGAGAGTATGGAGGAGGTAAGTATCAGATATTTGGGAGTGGACTGTCAGCGGATGGGTCTATAAAAAGATGAGGTGAATCATAGAATTGATGAGGGAAAAAGAGTGAGTGGTGCACTTGGGGAGTCTGTGGAGACAAAGAACTTTGTCCTTGGAGGCAAAGAGGGGAATGTATGAGAGTATAGTTTTACCAACGCTCTTAAATGGGTGTGTAAGCGTGGGTGATGAATGTTGCAGCGAGGAGAAGGCGGGAAAGGCAGTGGAGATGTCATGTCTGAGGGCAATGTGGGGTTGTGAATATAATGCAGAGAATTAGTAGTTTGGAAGTTAGGAGGAGGTGGGGGTTACCAAAACTGTTGTCAGAGGGCTGAGGAAAGGGTTGTTGAGGTGGTTCGGACATGTAGAGAGAATGGAGCGAAACAGAATGACTTCAAGAGTGTATCAGTCTGTAGTGGAAGGAAGGCGGGGTGGGGGGTCGGCCTAGGAAGGGTTGGAGGGAGGGGGTAAAGGAGGTTTTGTGTGCGAGGGGCTTGGACTTCCAGCGGCATGCGTGAGCGTGTTTGATAGGAGTGAATGGAGACAAATGGTTTTTAATACTTGACGTGCTGTTGGAGTGTGAGCAAAGTAACATTTATGAAGGGATTCAGGGAAACGGCAGGCCGGACTTGAGTTCTGGAGATGGGAAGTACAGTGCCTGCACTCTGAAGGAGGGTGTTAATGTTCCCAGTTTAAAAACTGTAGTGTAAAGCACCCTTCTGGCAAGACAG